GGGGGGGGGGGGGGGTAATTAGAGTATAGAATTTTACTCTATTGACTGTTGTCTCTGTTAGTGGATAGCTGTCTGTTAGTTTGTTAGCTTGCTGACAGGTGTCCCATATTCCTCCTGGTGTACTCTAGAGTACCTTCCTTTATACTCCTTAGCATCTATATAAATAGTTGCACCTCGTTTTGTACGTTTAGGAATATCATTATATTTCACATTCTATTATTCCTTTCCCTTTTTGTTTCACTTGTCTAGAGAAACATCCACATTTTGGAGGCTTTGATACCTTAAAAAAAACCAATTATCCCAAAATCTTAAGTTGTATGGTGAAGATATATGAATGGTTTATATGTTTTATATCTTTACCATATTCAGTGCAACTGAAATTGAAAAGAATGAATAGATGGACAATATAAAATTTTAGCGGTCTCATTCTTCGGTATTGTTTGGCTCCATTATTTCTGATCAACATTGAGTATGTCATCAGTATTACTGGATTTTTCTTTAAAGTAATTGACACTACCTTGATTTCTGCTTTCCAGACAGTTGGGTTGACTATGATTGATTTGAATTCAATCAGACCTCCAAACAGTGTCAACTCGTCACTTGATGAGAATTCTGGAAATTTCAGTAAGTTTTAAGAGCTTTCTCATCTTTTTTATTGCCTTTCTTTCTCCAGTATTTAAAGCTTATCTGTGTTCCTTTGTTAAATTATTCAGAGGAGAATTGGGCAACTTACCCAGCTCAAAAAAGATTTAGAAGCCGCTGGTTAGGGGGCTGGACATGTAAGGTGTGTTTCTTCGTTTTCCTTCACCTATCATTTCTTTAATCATACTAATTTTATCCCCGTCTTTTGATATTCTAGGTAACATATGAATTCATTTGAGTCATGTTTATTTAAGAAATGGTGAGATCTTGTTGAATCCAAAAGGCTATTGCTTATTTTGGAGAAGAGGGGAGATGTGGGGATATTAGCTATTATATTTAGACTTTATAATTGTTAAACACAGCACATGTTTTAATCTGTATTATTTGACAACAATTGGCATTTATTAGGGATTTCATTCTACAATTACTGTTGTCAATATAAGCATACATGTGTGTGGTCAATATTCGATACGCAATTACCAAACCTAATAATAATAATGCTTTAATCTTTGACAATTAACAGGTCACACTATGATGTAAAGAAAAAACAACCATGTAGTGAAGTTGAGGTTATTGTAACAATTTAATGCTGCGAACTGTTTTATATAAAACCAAGAGATTCATAATAACTGAATTCTGACTCAAGCATTGGTTTCTAATGTATTATAGTTATATACTATTGTGGATATATATATTTGATGATTCTAAAATCTTAAAAAATGGTGAAATATTACGAGTCTTAGAAGTTAACTGTTTCTTTAGAAGGAGCTTTCTGCTAATTTCTTTTTAGTAAAATCTAGAAGAAAAATATTATCTATCCTGAGTTTTTTCTTTGCCAAAAATCATGATGTTGGTTGTCATAATTTTGCATGTTGAAATGTTTTGCTGATTATTGGGTATAGTTGGTATGCGATGGAAAAGGGATTGTTCATAGAATTTTTCAATGTCTATATAGAACTTTCAGTAAATTACCACTGAGTAGGGATTGGCTAGCTATCTATTCATGGTTGTTGGTTGTATTCCTCCTTCAAGAATGCATTAGCGTTTTAGTTTGTTTTTTCTAGTTTACCATCACTGGATGAATGCTTTTGAATGAATACTTGGCTGATGGAACAAAAAGAATCTAAGCATAATTTGATTTTATGCATAATTTGATTTCCATCTATGTTAGTGGGGTACAATTCCATATCAACTGCTTGTGTGGCTGTGTAGAATGCTAATTTTTCATCTATGGTAGGTGAACTTTTATTCTGGTTGGAGGCAAATTCCCATCAGATCAAATTCTTTCTTTTTCCAAGTGCCTGCCCTTTGTTCCCTTTTGTTGGAAAGCTGTCTTAATTGTACCTCGAGCCCACCTTAGTTGTGGTCTTTTTGGGATCTGTCTTAATTGCCGCCTCCATAGAGGTGGTTTAGCCCCATGTCAACTAGAAAGCTTTAAAATCTTGGGCTATCTTTACCTTACAAGCCAGTTTTTGGGAGTTGAGTTAGGCCTTAAGACCAAATTCTAAGACTTTTTTACTTGCTGTCCATTGTCCCTACATTTTTATTTTGTTTGTTTTTCTCCTCAAATTTGCATTCCTTTTGTCAGATGATTTATATTGCAGTTATATATTCTATCGTGGATTTAAGCATCTTGATAAACTGTTTTATTTTTCATGGATATTAACTACTCTGTTTCCCTCTTGGAAGGAATTAAATTCACCCTCATTGAATCGGAATGATGCAAAATGTATTCCAAAGTTTTTTGTCAGAGAGACAAGCTTTCTTACAGAATCTGTAGATATTGTTCAAGATGAGAATTCTTGTGTGCTGAAACATGACCCCAACTGTGCCATTGGTTCGCAGCTAAGTATGCCTTCTGAAGACTCACACGACAAACCTGATGAGAGCATGTTGCAGTCTCAAGATGTGATCAGATGTTCTAGTCTATTGTCGACTGATCCTCTTTGTTCATTTGTTCCGTGTAGCCTTTCTTTAGAGCATGTCAATAACAATACTTTTATTGACAAAAAAAATGATACTGAGGATTTTGTGCCATCCAGCTCTGAATTTAAGGTGGACAATTTTCAATTAAACTTGGATAATAATGTTAAATTTAGCTGTAGTGATGAAAAAATTATGTCTCTACTAGATGGGATTCAGGGGAATGATATTCGAATCACCGAAACAAAGATGGTTGAACAAATCACTGGGAATTTAAAAAGGGCTGAACATGCTTGTCTCAAGAATTATAGCATGATTGTTCAAAACCAAGATCTCAGCCTAAACTATAATTTGACAGAACTTCCGACTGATCAGAGTATGGGTAGTGCTGCCTCTTTTGGCACAAAGATTTCTGAGAGCCTATTGGCATCCAAGCATGCAGATGGAAACAAAACTGAAAAAAATAATCAGCATTTGGTTGATCACAAGTCAATTATTGAAATAACAGATGACAAGAGTGGTGATGAATTAAAAGCAGCAGATGCAAGTAATATTTCAGCAGAATCATTATCTGACAGGAGATCGCCTCTTATTCTAAACCATAGGATACGCCGGTGCTTGCCGGGCCCTGTGAATGTTGCAAATGATATCAGTGTAGAGAAAAATATGAAGGAGCATATAGTACCAGAAACTGTTGATCAAAATCAACAGAACAAGAATCCTAATAAAATGCTGGTTGAGTGCAATAAATTCCACAGTGGACGTGTTAGAGTCAGAAAGCAAGTACGTTTCTCAGAAAAAGTGGAGGAACCTCATCCGAAAAGGAAGTTATCAAAGTTGGAATCCTCACATAAAAGAAGTAAGTCTTTAGTTCAATTGTCTAATTGCCAAGACCTAACCATCTATCTCAAAAGCTTAAGTTGTCAGGTGAGCTTGTGCTCCAAGTGCCTTTGGGCTTATCGTGTGAATAATGCATAAATCCACCTAGATTGTGCCTATATTTTGATTCTATTAGAAGAATATAGGACCACTTGGTCATAGATAATCTAATATAGAAATACTTGTGGGTAGAGGATTTGTCCCTTAAGGCCTTAACTGCTACTCACTCTACTTCTCTGGGATTAATCTCATGCCTTTCAGCTGTGAGGATACCTTGCATTCAGCAATAAAACAAAAGACTAATATCATATCATGAACCAACTATCCAGAAACCTTATGTTGTTAAGTGAAGACACATGAATTGTTTTATATTACATCTCTATTCTCCAATAGGAATGTATTTTTCAGTTTTATCTATTGGGCTTTACTTATTTTCTGATAATGTAGGTTCATCTGTTAGAGCAAAAAGGCGACGAGTTTCAAAGTCATTGACCACTTCTGTTCCGCGAATGAAACATTCTTCGACAAATTATTGCAGAAGTGTGGTAAATGACTTTATGTTTCTAGGTATAGAGTTCCTTCTCACTGGATTATCCAGTCAGAAAGAAAGGGACATGGAAGCACTTATAAGGAATTCTGGTGGGGTGGTTCTTTATGATATTCCCTCTTGCCGAGACCCAGGGGGCAAGAGAAGTTCAACCTCATCTCACTTTCCCATTATTCTATGTATGAGAAAGGTTTGTTTCTAATGATCAATATAACTTTTTGTCGTTTATCATGATATTGATGCTTACAACTTCTGCTAATTGTTTCATTGCTTTTTCTTTGTTTCTCTCTTCATTATTTATTAATCTCTTGCATCCCACTTTATGCAACTCATGCTTAATTTCAACAATTAAAATGCATCCGACAGGTAAAATTACACACAAGATGAGTATCTAGTAATAAAGGCTTGTTTGGTCTTTATATCTGCAAATTATCAATTATCATTAATAATTATGATCATAATTGTTGTAAAAAATTCGTAATTTACCCATTATACACCCATTATTAGAGGCATTATCTCTGCTTACAGAATTGCTCTCTTTTCTACTCCTTATCCAGATATAACTGTTTTTAATTTTTCATTATTTTCTTCTATGAATCTTCTGTATAATGAGGTCTTTCCACGTATAGAAATTTGAACACGCTGATGTCTTATAATTTCTTTTGCTGGTGAAGCAGAGTTTTGAATTAATTTAAAAAACCATTTGACCTAAAGGCTTATGCTGTTTAGTGTAGTGCAAACTTTAGCAAAAACATGTGGAACAATAAAATCACTTGATCAACCAAGGCTTAAATTCAATGTCAAAGAACACTTCACCTTGAAGCTGAATATTTTATGCCAGCCTCGAAGAATATTTTCTTTTTCCTTAATTTAATTAATGGACAATATACAACATTAATTATTATATTTCTGTCATAATGATTGCATTGTTTAATGAAGTCTGTTATTTGTCTCAGCTGCAAACCACCAAATTCTTGTATGGTTGTGCTGTTGGTGCCTCGATATTAAAAGTGGATTGGCTAACTGATTGTCTTGCATCCGGAACCATTTTGCAACCTGAAAAGTAAGTTGTATTATCACTGATTTAACTTCTGCTTCTCTTAAAATATATTTACCATGTTCTTTGACGATAAGTATGAACAAAGTGGTTCACTCCCTCTCACCGAAACAATATTAATCTGAATATGAATAAGTTTGAATAATTGAACAGTAAATGGATGATTCTCAGATTTTGAATATGCACCCCAAGCATATGCTTTATAAAGAGGCACTCCTTGGTCACAAGGAAAGTTCCTTTGATCACTAAGACATTCTATACCCTTTTTCTTTAACTGAATTCTCTCTCTATATTCCCCCTTACCTATGCTCTCCTTTGGGTCAGCGGGTGCCTAAGTGACCACACCCACGTGCAAAGGTCATTGGAGACACTAGTGAGAAGAGTAAATGTTTTTAATTTAACTTGGAAAATGGGTAAAGGAAGACTAAACTTGACATTGGAAGAAATTTCTAAATAAGATCTCATGATGAATAATATGCCTGAGAATTTGGCTTTTGACAGTGTGCGTCATGTGATCTATGTAGTGGTCCTCACATGGTGAAATAAGGCTATTGTTATGGTTGTTGTTTTTGGTTTCTCCTGATAGCTCTTTAGAGTGCATATGCCAATCGTTGCAGAAATAATTTTACATTTTTAGCCACTCTAAATACAGATTTTGTAAGTTTGACTTATTTGCAATATAATTTCATTTGGTGTTTACATTAATTGTTTATATTGCTTTCTAATCACACCTTTAGTATTCTTTTACAATGGTTTAGCTGTTGCTAAGGAGATGATTTTGTTAATTTATAGATCTTTTGTTTACAATGTTTTTCGAATATGTGGATGTATTTGACATTGTCTCCAATTTTAATGATGACTGTTGTTATGATGATCTTGAAATCCTTCTTCATAGTTTAATGATTCTGGTTTTCCACTGTATTAGATACATGATTTTTCCAAATCGACATGACATGAAGTGGACGAGGATTGGGACGGCTATTCATCAAAGAATCCAAAACCTTATTTTTGAAAGAGTTGGAATTCTGCTTCATGGGAAGCCTAGTTTCTGTACCAAATTGGCATGTATCATCAAGGTAAGATCCTTTTACCTTTTCTTTTCTTCACTCATCTTGTGTTGACCCTTGATATGTCCTAAAGTTCCATTTTTTACCAATTCTTATTCATATTTTATGTTTTAATTTATTTTAAAAAAACGAAGACGAGAGTTTTTCTTTTGGTTCAGTTGACCACAATTTAAGTTTGAATTGCTGAGTTTCTAAAACTAATCTGTATTTTATGATATTCGACATTAATCTGAAGTTATCTTAATGTACGACTTGAATTTGAATTTAGCAATGCAATGTAGGTGTGTAGGTACTAATACAGATTACACTAATGGTCCTTTCATACAATATCTCTAACATTTTTATTAAACTTCTCTGTGCGTGCGTGTTTATAGCATGGAGGTGGACAAGTGTTCAAAACTCTTCAATGGTTGGGACGGAGTAGTGATGAGAAAAGTACTTTGGTTGGGGCTATTGTAGTTGAAGACAAGGCTACAACATCACGCCACCTGAAGCACTGCGCCAAGGAGCAGAATATTCCTATGATGGTAAGTAGTGATTACATATTTCATATTTACGGTGCCCGATATTTGTAAAATGAAGTTACTGTTTGTGAAAACAGGTTCATGAGTTCTCTCTCTCTCTATATATATATATATATGAGGAGTCCACTTACTCCAAGAGTATATATATATGAGGAGTCCACTTACTCCAAGAGTAAGTTTACTTATACTTATTTTATTCAATAATTCATGTTTTACATCAAATTTCAATGATTTAATCGTTGAACTTTTAATACATAGATCAAGTTTGCAAAATTTAAATAAAGTTAAAAATTATTTGATATTTCATTACATTAGTTTTAATTGACAGATAATCATAAAAATATTTTATACATTAATTTTAAGTGGATCCCTTATATATATATATATATATATATATATATATTTTAGTACCATGGTATAGGCAAGATTATCCTTTGATTCTGTCGAAAATTAGTCTCCCTCAGGACCTTAATTGCAATAAGGCTACCTCTCTCAAGGTTGCCTTTTTATCAAATTCAAAACTCGAACTTAAGACTTTAAGAGCCAACCATAATACCAGTCTGATCAACAAACCTTTGAGTGTATGTATATATATAGATATATAAGGAGGGATCCACTTATTTCATTCAATAATTCATAATTTATATTAAATTTTAGGCTAAAAACCTATTTTGGTCCTTTATAATAATTGTTTGTTTCAATTTAGTCCCACTTTTAATTTTTGGTCTCAATTTGGTCCCTAATAAATTAATTGGTTTCAATGTGGGACATCCGTCAAAATTATTTAAACGGAGTTAACTGTTGGCCACATGGATGTCACGTAGATGCACAGGTGGATGCCACGTGGATGTCAGATTTATTGAAAACACCTGGAACCAGAACAACCAGAACGGGCCGTTCTGGGTGCACACTTGTGTGTAAATTTTGCATCTGAAACGGGCCGTTCCAAATACAAAATTAACACGCCACGAGTTCAAAAGAACGGCCTGTTCTAAAACCAGAACGCCCTGTTATGGTTTCAAAACGGCCGTTCTGGATGAAGAATAGCCTGTTCCAGAATTATAATAATTTTGAAAAATATTTTTTTATGATAAAAATTTTAAAATTATTTATTTTTATAAAATACAATAGTGATAACTTTTCGTTTTTCTCTTTCTGTCTGAAGAAATATTTAAGTGTTACTTAATAATTTTTTGCAACTTATTTAAAATTAGAGGAATAAAATGATAAAAATTAATAGGATAAACATAATAAAATTATTAATTTGTTTTCTTTTAGTGTCTTCTAAATTTTTACACTCATTTAAAACAAAAATATTTTATATGTTATTTTGAATTAATTTAATGAAATATCATATGATTTTTAATTTTTTAAAAAAATTTATAAATTTGATCTATATATGAAAAGCTTTTTAATTTAACAATTAAATTTTTAAAAATTTGATATAGAACATTAATTATTAAGTAAAATAAATTTATCAAGACTTAATCTTGAAGTAAGTAAATTTTTTCTTTATTAAAAATGGAGATAATTTTACCACAAAATAAAAAATAATTAAACAATAAAATAAAATATAAAAAAAATATATTAATGTATTTATTATATTAGATATAACAAGATAATTAAAATATAATTAATAATATATATTTTATTAAATTATTAATATTTTATATATAAAAAAAGAATGAACACAATTTTAGTGGGGGCAAGTGCCCCCACTATGATTAACTTAGATCCGTCCCTGCATGTGGTTGTGTGGTGAAATGTTAGTCCTGTGTATCCTCTTTCTTTACTTCAAGTTCTACCTCTTCAAGAGCAGGTTGTTGTTGTTGGGGTACATCGTTAATGACTTCAATAAAAAATACCATGTCATTTCATCCTTTACTGTATAGTGTCAATTTGGTAGTAAGTGGTTCACTCTAGTTTGACTAATAATGAAATAAAATCTATTACCATTGTCTTTAGTGATACACTGCATTGTCCTTAATGATACACTGTATAGCCCAACTGTTTAGCAATTGAAGTTATCAATTTCCATTGACAATATTACCAAATCCAGTGTTTGAAATATTTTGTACCTTGGGTCTTTTTCCTTCTACGATTCACAACCGTGAACTATAATTATTGACAGTTTGTGTTTAATAGTCTGGAACCAGAACGACTCGTTCTGAAACCAGAACGACCCTTTTTGGTTGCACTTTTAGTGTGTTAATTTTGCAGATGGAACGGGTCGTTCCTGATGCAAAATTAACACACCAAGAATGCACTCAGAACGGCCCGTTCTGGTTCCAGGTGTTTTCAAAAAAAAATTGGCATCCACGTGGCATCCACCTATACATCTACGTGGCATCCACGTGCATGTCACGTGACCAACAGTTAACTCTGTTTAAATAATTTAGACGGAAGTCCTACATTGCAACCAATTAATTTATTAGGAACCAAATTGAGACAAAAAATAAAAGTGGGACTAAATTAAAACAAACAATTATTATAAGGGACCAAAATAGGTTTTTAGCCTAAATTTTAATAATCTAACCGTTGAATTAAGAGTTCTTAAAAAATAAGTCTGCAAATTTTTTAGAAAATCGAAAATCATATGATATTTTATTATATAGATTAAAATCAATGTATAAAATATTTTTATGTTTATCTTTCAATTTGAATTTATAAAACAAACTATCATATAATTTTGAAATTTTTTAATTTGATCTATGCATTATGAATTTGTTATTCAATGATTAGATTGTTAAAATTCAATATAGAACATAAATTAAGTATAGTAAATTTATCTAAACTTACTTTTAGAATAAGTGGATTCCTTATATATATATATATGTTTGTGTGTGCTTTCTCAAGTTAATCCATCTCAATTATCATGCTCACCCGTTGTATACTTCATATATATGTTTGAGGTGTGGGTGTTTCTGAATTTTCTGTTGATTTTCTGTTGCAGCCTTCTAGTTGGATCATTAAGAGCTTATATTCTGGAAAGTTACTTCCTTTCACGGAAGAAAAAAATACACTTCCTTTGCCATTTATCAAAGTCTCGGACGTCCCAAATTCTTCGGATATGAGTGAAGAAATATAAACTATCATTTCAGCAGATTTATTAACCCAGATTATCAATGATGGCTTGGAGAGCGATTGGAACATTCTTTATACATCTCAAATTTTGAATTTTTTTTAAATAAACATCAATAATATTAAAAAAAAAATTGTGGGAGAAGCACACCGTTAAACAAGTGTTGTTGAAAAAGAAACTTGAAAAGAAAAAAAGAAACGTGGTCGTGGTCCCAATTAGCACGGTCAAGCATGCTTTTTGACCTTTTGAGTTCTTGATATATAACACGACAATATGCTTATACACAAGGGATATATTTTCTAGGAATTATAATATTAAAAAATTTTAATTTGGTTCTACTTTAATTTTTTTATTTCAATTTAATCTTAATTTATTTAAAATATTTCAACGTGGGACTTCAGTTTAAATTTCATAGTGTTAAATATTCTTGAGAATTATGCCCATAATTTCAAATTAGGACTGTAATTTTCACGTTTAGTGTTAAATTTTGGTGAGAGAGAGCTTTCTTGTTCTTGTTCTTGTTCTTTGTTCTTTGATCACCATTAACGTAGGAAACTATGGCACGTTCACCTCTACTAGATATCGTGAGCATCATCGGAGGCTCGCTCTTCATTACGACCTTCATCCAAAGCTATGAGAACAGTAGCAGCAACTTCCAGGGGGTGTGAAGCCGACCACCTCCTCTCCAACTACCCCTGATCTCCGGGCCCACATTGTCCGCTACCACACGTAGCTTTGTGAGGTCGACCACCTCCTCTTTAGCTACCGCTCCAAGCCTGCCTGCTTGCCGGCCTTTGCCACGCTTTACGGAAACGAGCATTGCCGGCTAGCGCTGCACAACCTCCCTAACGAGGTCTACACCACGAAGTGGGACCTTGTCATGATCGACATGCCCAAGGGGTACTTCGCGGAGACTCGGGAGGATGGCAATGATCTTCTCCGCCGCGATCATGGCCTGGGACAGGAACTCTCTCACCAAGAACCACGGGCGTGATTCTTACGAATATTTAACACTATTTGTAAAATTTTGACAAAAATTCTATATTGAAATATTTTAAGTTAATCGGTTAATAATATTAACATATAATTAACTATATAAAAATTCATATAAATTGAAAAATCTCATGTTTAATCTGATCATTCATCATGAAATTTAATTATCAATATTTATTCTTTTAACTCTCAGATTACAAAATCCTCACTAAAAATTATATATTAAAATGAAAATAAAATATATATATATA